CCCCTCGCTTCAGCCTCCCGGTCCAGGCCATTTACTCCTATTTCCTCTAGGACTCCTGGAACGTCTTTGCCGGGAAAGGCATCCTAGAGCGTCAGCGCCTAACTGTGACGCGCCAGATCTCGGTATGTTCTGCTTCTTATCCCTGGACCTCTATCAGTTGAGTGTCCAGTTTCCATGCCTTGAACATATTTCCTTCTTTTGGTGTTTCAGGCACTTAAGCTTGCACTCCTAAACTACATGGAGTTGGAGTCCCTGCTGGAGCGGGACGCCTCGATGAGGGCGGCGGAGAAGGAGGTTGCTGCTCTGTACGCTGCTCGGGATGAGCTCTCCTTTGACTTGGACGTTGAGAAGGCCACGCTCCACACTCGAGTCCCTCAAAGGGACCATTGAAAAGGAGAAGGAGGCGAGCTTCCAGGCGGGGTGCTCCTCGGTGGTCCAGGTGTACCTCGCATTTCCCATCTTCGAGCAGAAGAAAAGGGAGGTGATTGAGGAATTCCTGCATTCCGAGGGGTTCGACTGAGCAATCGACTCCCGCCTGGAAACCTTCAAGTCGTCCCAGGAATTCAAGGATCTGGTCGACCTCTAGGTGGAGCACTTTAAGTCATCTGAGGCTTTTAAGGGTCTCCTTACTCATAGATTTGAGGCTTACAAAGCCTCTGTTGAGTTCAAGGAGCTTCAGGTGTCTTTAATGAGGTCCGCTGGGGAGCAGATGCTTGACCACTTTAGGCGGAAGTGCCCAGATGTCGACCTATCCTTCATTGATGAGTCAGTCGCTGGGGAGCAGATCCTTGACCGCTTTAGGCGGAAGTGCCCAGATGTCGACCTATCCTTCATTGATGAGTCAGACAGCGAGGACGTGAAGGTGGTCGAGCTGGACCAGGAAGCTAGGGGCATCGATCAGACACTGGGGAACGCTGAGCAAGCACCAGGGGACGGTGAGCAGACACTGGGAGACACCGGCGAGCAGGCACCGGGAGACACCGGCGAGCGGGCACCGGGGGACGGCGGCGAGCAATGAGGGGGTTCCTCTACGTTTGTTGTTTCTATTTTTCTCTTTTTTTTTGAAAGGCCGTGAGGCCGAGACTATATTTGTTGGTTTGTAACGACCATAAGGTCGAGACGCGTATATTTTTACTGTACTATATATGCATATGCTTGCTTTGTTCACTTTGTGTGTAGATGCTGTAGATATTACGTATGTAAAAATTTTTTTTTTGCTAAGTATGGTTGAGCCAGAGCTCACCGCCTTTGCATGTTTTGGGGGGCCATGTTGTTGGCCTTATTACCCCCTCGCCGAAAACAAAGTCTTGGACTTGTTTTTGACGCACCATGGTTGATGTATCGACATTTTTTGGTTGACGTATCGACATTTTTCGGTTGACGTATCGACATTTTTTGGTCGACATATTGACTTTTCCAAGAAAAACATAGATAGTAGATAGTTGAGCCCGCATAACAAAGTCGATCATGACGCAGAACAGAGTTGACAAAGTAGACAATGCAATTTACCTTTCATTTATGTAGAATTTACAAGTCGACCTTTCAGCCTGCTGAAAAATGAAATATAATACAAGTAAAAAATACTAAGTTTAACCTTTTAGGTCGACGTTCCTCGCAATTATTGGTAGTAGACCTTCAGCTGGTCTGCATTCCAAGTGTGCTTGATGTCTCGACCGTCAAGCTCTGCGAGTCGATACGACCCATTAGCCACGACCTCCTTTATTTTGTAGAGCCCTTCCCAAGTCGGGCCCAAGGCACCAGAGTTCTTGGGCTTGGTGTTTAGGGTCACCACCTGTAGGACCAGGTGACCAACCTCAGAGCGCTTTTGTTTGACCTTTTTGTTGTAGTATCTGGCAGTTCTGGCTTAGTACGCAGTGAGCCTCAGCTGCGCGTCCGTGCATCTTTCTTCCAGAAGGTCGAGCTCCAAGCCCATTAGCTCGGCGTTCCTATCCTCCTCATACCGAGTTACTCGGCTGGTCGGAATGGATACCTCGACTGGAAGGACTGCCTCGACTCCCCTGTGGTAGTCCTACTCGTCATCCTGTAAGCCTACAGGACTTTTACTGGTTTTGATTTATGGGTTCAGTAGCCCTCATTCTAGCGCCAATTATTGACTGTGATTTTCTGACAACGCGTGATTAACTCTCCAAAGACACTCACGATAATCACTCACGGATTAGCTAAAGATTAAAGCCGTACAATAACGTAAGTAGAAAATAATTTATAGTGGTTCGGCAAGAATTCTTGGCCTAGTCCACTTGTGGATGCACTAATCTTTCTGAGATTACAGGTTATTCTTTGAGTAATCAAATAGTGCGTAACCCTTCAATAGGGGTTTTTTTGGCACTATTTATAGGCTTTTACATGTGAAAGATCTCCTTTGCATTCCCCGAGGGAGCCATCTTCTATCCCTGGATTTTGGGAACGCGTAGGTGCATTTTCATGATGACAATCTCAGGAAATCAGGCTAACCTCTCTTACCGACTACCTGATTTCCTGACTTCGACAGTAGCAGTTGGTACAGTGCATCCTTCCCTGAGTTGATAAAAATGTTGATGGATTTGACTGGACTTGCTGCCTCGACGTAATGGCCACCACAAGTCGAGTGAGGTGCTCGACGTCCGTTATCCTGCATGGGCTCTCGACATCCAAAGGGCACCTTAGCTACAGTGGTTCCCTCGACGCCAGCAACCGATTCTCAACGGGGAAGCCTTGGCGCTTGTCGTTCGAGAGAATGGTCCATTGCTCGACCATGATGTAATAGTGGAGAAAGGCAGTCTTCAAGAGCATTAGATCTGGGTAAGTATATTGTTTATGGGTATTGATGTAAAAGAAGAGAGCATTGCAGATTAATTTGGCAGAACAAACTCTTGAGTGCGTTTGAAATTCGTTTCAAAATGATTTTATTTTTTTATATGAAAATGGAAATAAAAACGTTTTTAATTTCAAATATATATCATTTTTAAAAATGTGTTTAGTAATTTTATCAAGAGATTATTTTTAGTATAAAAAAATCCATTAATGTCTATCTCTGCTTGATAGAGGAGAAAACAAAAATAAGAAATGAAAAATGACTAAAAGTCATTTTTCATTTCTCTCATATTTTACACTAAGTCAAAAAATCGTTTTCATTTTTATTTTTTATCTTTATTTGTATCAAACACCGTTTTAAATTCATTTTCATTTTTTCCTTCTCGAAAAATGTGAAAAATAAAAACAATAACAATTCCAAACACGACACTTATTTTTCGATTTGTTTGGTCCTGATTATGAGTTTAGTATAGATTAATTCGATAGAACAAATTTGAGTTTTTTTTTTTTTTATTTTTCTTTTTTCTTTTAATTGAAGAAGGGGCTCATTTTGAATCTAATTTGATTCCAATAATTCTACTCCATTGAAGTTTTGAGTTTTAATATGAGGTTTAACATTTGCTTCAATTTTAAATGTTTTAAAAATTTTTAGATTTTTTTGAAATTATTATTATCTTTATTAATTAATGAGAATAGTAGGTTGGATATTTTATGTTCCACAAATTAGTTTTAAGGTACCAAAATAAAGCTTCTATAAACGTGAATGTACCATTTTAATATTATAAAAAATACATGTTATCATCTCAATATTTTACTATAATAAAGAATATCAAAATGATTTTATCTAAAAAAAGTGAAAATTTTGATTTTCCACTATCACCCTAGCTAGATGCACGCCAAATTACCATTAAAATGGAGAATTTACTTTTGAGAGTGTATGAGTCTAGACATTTATCCTTTACTCTTGATAATGTAATTATTTGATTAAAAAGGTTATGAACAAAGAGAAAAAGGTAAAAATCCTGACTAATACACTTTTAAAGGGTATTTATCAAGATTACCTAACAAGATTGTTGTTGGGTTAGAGCCCAATTTTAACGCCATACTTTTTATTTTTACACCAATTTAGTGTGCTTTTGAGTTACTCTTAGAGCATTTCTAATCATGCTAGCTATTTTCATGTTTTTAGTTAAAATTGTTAATAATGTGATTTTTTTTTCTTTTTCTTGACTTTTCTTCATTCTAACTATTAGCTAAATAATTAGTTATTTTGGAGAATACATTTCACACTAGTCAAATATAGATAGCAAAAAAAGGCTAGTGATTTATTTTTTTTTAGTATTTAAATTTTTAATTTGAAACAAAGTAAAAGTAAAAAAAAAAAAAAAGAGTTATTAATATTTAAATTTTAAAAATATTAAAAGAATATGTTAAACTAAAATAGGGAGTATGCTTAGAGTGACTCACCTAAAAATTACTAACTTTTAGCTATTTTAACCAAAATTTAGGTAAATTTAGAGAGCATCTTTGGAGATGCTCTTAAAAATTTCAGGATTTTAGATTAAAAAAAAAAAAATTTACTACAAGAACTAATTTAAAAAAAAAAAAAAAAGATGAACGTTCAGGAACCTCTCGTAAATTTAATTCGATAACGTGCAATATTTTCCTTGGTTGTGTATATTTTTGGGAGTCTTACTGTAATTTTTCTCCATGAATCTCGTCGTGGAACTTTATGTCCTTTTTTTTTTGCTGCAAAACCATATTCTTTTTATTCTTGTCTACGTTCTCGGGTATTTGACGCTTGAAGATTACGTCATCGTTTTCTATGTCTCCCCTCACTTTTATTATTGGTTAGTGTTTTGTTGTTTTATAGTTTGTAGTAGTTTACCACACAATTGCCATTCGAAGTTTTCCCAAAACATTTGTGTAACCTTCTGTTATTTCTCTTGTAGTTTTTCCCTTTTTGTTGTCGATTATTGTTTCCCATAATTTTTTCTGTCATCACACTTTTTTTTTCGTTATTGTCAATTTATTGAGTCCTTTGTCGTTTACTAATTTATTAATTTATTATTATTATTATTTTGTCATTTCCAGTTTCCACTTACCATTTTTCTTAACTGGCGAAGTTATACAATAGAGCCTTCAATGGCATCCTCGTGTCAAGTATATTCATGACTAGAACATAAAGATTTGGATGCTAAACTACGGCTTTGTTAACGGCAAAAGCGATAGAATAAGGCTATAAGCAGCCACAATGCATACATCGAAGAGTCCATATGTATAGATTATTTGGAGAAATCAGAACCAACGACATGAAAGCACAATAGTTAATAAGACCACATTCGGTTTGAAAAAGACGAGGATCACTTCCACTTCTTGAACTTTCCACCGAGCATGCCATGCTTTCCGAACTTGCCATGCTTGCCGTGCTTGCCAAACTTGCCGTGCTTGAACTTGCCGCCATGGTGCTTGAACTTGCCGCCATGATGCATGTGAGCACCGTGCGGGATGTGAGCGCCGTACGGGATGTGAGCGCCGTACGGGTTGTGAGCGCCGTGCGGGATGTGAGCGCCATGTGAGAGATTGTGAGCGCCATAAGCTGCGGCTGCAGCTGCAGCACCCCCAGCTATCAATCCTCCTAAGCCACCACTGCTATGCCCTGAAAAATAAAAAATGCCACCGTATGAGGAGGAAATAATTAAACAAGAAAAAGGCTCTCGTCAGACCTCAGGCAAAACAAATCTAAAAGGATTCATGTGTCGCCACATACGCAGAACATGATCATAAAAAGACCATACTTTCACACAGTTACACTCATAATTATGCAAAACCAAGTAATGCTCTTGGAATTGGAAAGCAGAGCACCTTACTAACAAAGCCAAGGACACAAAATTGCTTTAGTCACAACCATACTTTGGTATCTAAGTTGCTAAGACTGATACCTGTGTGATGAGTTGATGATCCGGGATAACCGGCGGGAGGGTATCCGGCAGGAGGATACCCCGCAGGAGGATATCCTTGTTGTGGGTACCCCTGTGGTGGGTAACCCTGTTGGGGAGGGTATGCCCCAGAAGGTGGAGGGTACTGTCCAGGAGGATATTGTGCCGGAGGATATCCAGGATATCCATGTCCATGGTGCCCGAAAAGCCCTTTGTCATGTTCGTCATGTTTATCCTTCCCACCACCCATGTTCACCTTTCAGTTAAAACACCTAATAGAACTGCACTAGGAAAAATAATAAACTTTTTTTAAAATAGGGGAAACACACACACACAGAGAACCAAACAAAACACATACGCACAAAAGAGACAAAACTAATACCATGATCATTTCAAATAGTTTTCGGCATTGCAAACTCAGATCTAATTCCTCAAAAAACTTGGAAAACTTGAGTACGCTGATGTCAAATGAGGAAAACCAGAGAGCAAAATCTGTATTCTAACGAATCTAACCCTTTCTCAGCCTGGCTTTTCAAATTAAATGTCCCTCCACCGATCATTCTTAAATTTCAAAAGCCCCCGTTTTCATACAAACTGATACCAAATGAAATTGATTGTAAAAAGCAAACGAAGTTCAGAAAACTAAACAGGGTACATATTCTAATCACTAATGAAGAAGTAACATCTATGCAACAAGGATATCATACCATTGACTTTTTTACGGTAAAAAACACAGGAACTTTTTTTTTTTTTTGTCTCAGATCATATACATGGCATTTTTCCTTTTTTTATTTTTTTTAATTCCTGAGTACTACTCCAAAAGAAAAATGAACATCGATAAGAGTAACTTCCATAGATCCTGCTTTTCCGGACAAATTCAGAGTAAAAAAGAAAGGTCTACTGAAAATCAAGAAAATCGCAAATTCATATAACAATCGGAGATCCAAATATCAACAGAAGAATCACACGCAGAAATGATTCAAAGTTCGTATACGTTAATAATAGGGAAAAATAAAAGAAAATACTCAGAGTAAGAGAATTATGAATCACAGAATACCAAGAGACAGAGAGATGGAGAGATGGAGAGGTAGAGAAACTTTACCCTGAAGAAATTGTTGGAGAAAGAGTAAAGAGAGGAAAATATCAGAGGCACACAGAAAGAGGCGAAAATCTTTATTATAAAGGAACAGGAAGGAAAGAGGATGAGGATAGAGAATAAAGAGATAGTACCGACTACGCGATTCTATTCTATTTCTTAGACGCGTTGAGTCGTGACGCGTAAAAGACGCGTCCCCACCAAAGCATTAGGCTTTCACCGCCACGTGGGCCCCCAGAAGCCTTACCACTTCACCTTAGACACTCTGACGTGGCGAGCTCATACTCAAAGTCAAATTATATATATATATTTTTTAATATTCTTTTTCACGGTAACTCATTCCGATATCAATGGTAGTGCTGAAATTTTAGACGGGTCGTCTGCGATTGTCTGAAAAAATTGAGTTTTTACTTGAGCACGAGCCCGACTCGCCCAAAAAATTCAGGCCGCTTACCCGAGCCTGAATTTCCTCTTGAACGGGCCGCGGGTTTGTGTTAGTCCGCTCGAGCCCGGCCGGGCCACCCGAGCCCGCCCGATTTGTCCGAATTTTTTTTAAATATTTTTTAATTTTTATAATTATTAAGTTAGTTTGTGTGAAAATTATGTAAAAATCAAAATCAACATTCAATAGACATTATTAACACAATTGAATAAATTAATCATGTATATTATTGATGTATTAAATTCGTAATTCATGATTGTCTCGTTAAAAACCTTACCAAGAAAAAGCCAATTGGGATAAAAACTTAGTAAGGAAAAAAGAGTGCAATCATTTTGTGACAAATTACAAATTTTACAAACTTACAAAGTTATACAATTACAAATACAATGTCAAAAGTAAATACATATTTACAAATTACAAATTTACAATTTAATTTGAAGCTGAAGGATCGTCTTCAAAATTAAATGTTAATCGATTAAATTCATCAATCCATTCTTGGCTGGCTTGTTCGGATGAAACAGTGGAGACTGGGATCGAAAATATATCCATTGCCAATCGAGCTAGAATTGGCCAAGTTAATGTCCGTGCCCTCCACCATTGATTTAAGTCAAACGATTCTGCCGTACCGCCGACTACTAAGCCTTCACTGAGGTACGCCATAAGCTCGTTAAAGCTGCCGCCACTGCTGCCACTACCACTTGTTGATGAAGATTCATTCACAGCTTCTGTTTGAGTTGTCTTCTTCTTCTTCTTCAACCTGAAAACATT